GTCCAAAAATGCCCCTGCCAGACTTTATTGTGCGTGGCAGGCCTTTCGACCCGACACTTTTGGGTATTAAATCTCTATAATTTTAGTCAATTTTAATGTTTAATCCTCATGAATCAGTTGTCTCTACTTTGGCCCCGCCCCTGGATAGAATAGAAAATTTTCATTTCCTTTATTATTAACAATCGAAAATATTCGTTCGAAAAGGCCGGATGCCGTACTTAATTGTAATTTTTGTAGTGATGGGATAAAGAAAGTAAATATCAGCATAGTTTTCATTGAATTTTTAAGAATTCAAGTGCGCTTGCCTGCAACCGCGCAGTCAGAGATCTAGAAAAGCCTTTAATACCACTTAAATAAGTTTTGTTAATGTTTCGCTCTTTTTTTTCTAATATACATTCACTCAATTTAAAAACTCAAAAAACAAGATTCACTCCTTAAATGAATGACCACAAAAATTTTCAAGTTGACCGTGAGACGGGAGTGTACGGTTGTAGTGCAGTGAGAGTGCCGGTGAATTTCTTGTGAAAAACACATTTTGGTTTTCTTTTTCGACCAAAAGGTTAGTGAATTATTATAATATGTTTATTTTAGAACGTTCCTATTGCTATAAAATTCTGCATATGTGTTTCATTACGTATTTGCGACAAATCGTGTCTCCAAAGTGACGTTAGTCACTTATGACGCGCGTACCGTTTTTTCTCGACGTCTTATTAGATAAGTCTAGTACACATTAAAAGTGTATTAAAACCTTATAAGTTGAAAAATAATTGATTAATGAATCCGTTTTTGCATATGGATTTCGAATTCAGATAAATACGATATATTCCATAAAAGTCGAAAAATACCTATGACTCTAAATCGTCCATTATCATTATTATTACACTGGCTTTCGCCAGCGGCTTCGCCCGCGTTTACCCTAGGGAAATGTTAAGTGGGATAAAAAGCCTATTATCTAAGTCAGCTAACACCTTATCTGTATACCAAATTTCATCAAAATCCGTTCAGTAGTTTCAGCGTGATTGACCGACAAACATCCAAACAAAGAAACTTTCACATTTATAATTTTAACAGGATATTAGAACATTTATAATATTAATAGGATATTAGAACAATAATAATATTATATGATTACAAAGAGACTAATTCCGTTTAAATAATACTTTAGTGACCCCAATTCCAAAAAACAATCAAAAACATCTAGTAACAGAATATCGAACCATTTCAAAATTATGTATCATTGGTAAAATTCTTGAAAAAATGATTACTTTAGATTTGGCGTTGACAGCCTGCAGTTTTATTTCACCTCAGCAACATGACTTTTATAAACATAGAAGCGTAGATAATAACATGATCACTTTTACTGATTTCCTAGCGCAGGAAATGGATATAAATTTACAGGTGGATGCCGTGTTTACAGATATTTCGAGAGCTTTTGATAATATAAATTATAATTTACTTATAAAAATGCTTGCAGAAGCTGGTAGCCTTCTTCGATGGATCGAATCCTATACATCATAAACAGATACCAAGCGGTTTGCATCAAAGGGTATCTATCGGTCACCATTTCTGTTCCAATTCCATCCGGAATCCCACAGGGCTCGCATTTGGGTCCTCTTTTGTTCTCTTTTTACATTAATGACATTGGCAACACCTTTTATTACAGCCGCCACATGCTTTAATGCAGACGATACAAAATTATATGAAATTGTGACCTGTCGTGACGATTGCTTTAAGTTGCAAAAGGATCTAAGTGCGCTGTGTGCCTATTGTCTCAAAAATCATCTCTTACACGCGAAATCAGAATAAATTTAACTTTGAATATTGTATGAATAACAAAGTTGTCGAACGAGTGACCCATATCAGAGACCTAGGGATCAAAATGGACTTGAATCTTTCTTTTAAGTATCACGTAGACTATATTGTTGGGACTGCTTTTCGCAGGTTGGGTTTCATTCTTAGGATTAGCATACCTGTTAAAAATATAGACACGCTAAAGATACTTCATTTTTATTTCGCTCTATTCTCGATTTCTATAGTACTGTTTGGAACCCCTGTTATAACATTCACGTTAACAGAATCGAATGAGTTCAAAAAAAGATTCTTGAAATCCCTTAATCATAGAAATAACGTCAGTAACATGACATACAATAAAGCACTGATTAAATGTAACTTGCTTACTCTGCGCAATCGCCGCGTTATGTTTGATACAGTTTTTCTTTATAAGAGTTTACACTCATTTATCTACTCAGCATAGCTTTTTGGCCATGTTCAATTCTTCGGTCGAACTTGTCTTCCTGTATGCTCCTCACGTATTCTACTTCTGTTTGTTCCCCCACGTCGCAGGAAAAATTACACCCGAAACGCATTCTTTTATTGTTCCACCACTATATATAATAGGAAACTGTCAAAATAGTTTTCTTTAACACGTCTCTAAACAATATTAAAGAAGAACTTAAAAGAAAATTAAAGTAAAACATAATTATAATTGTTTACAATAAATAGATATTTTTAAATAAAATATTTTTTTTTTACATTGTGGTTGGTCTTCTCTGATTTGATTTTTATTGTAAACACTCGCATTTTTTTTATTATTGCATGAATGTTTGTCTGGTCACGTTTAAGCATAAAAAGACTTTTTTTTGTACTAAAATTGGGCACTGTAGGAGTTTTCAGTCACATTACTGTTTGTGAAATTATTGTTATTTTACATAACTGTGTGATGCCATAGTAAACGAAAAAAAAATTGTTAAATAAAACTGATATCGGTTCTCATGCACGCAAGTCCGTAACTTCGTACAACTACAGTTTTTATCGCTAAGTGTTTACATTAGCACTCGCAAGAGCAAAAAATGGCGTTAAGTGGCACAAGTAGCGGTATTGGTCACTAAAGATTATTTATGACCCAAGTAAAGAAGGGGTGAACACAAGCTAAGCCTTATTAATGTGTTAATTACTCGCAAGCTAAAAAAACATAATTACAACATGATTAGCGATTTTATTTTGCCCACTATGGATGTAAACATAGTAGAGATATGTAGTTCAATTGTGAAAAAAATATATAACAAAAAGGGTGGATACAGTGCCGGTTTTAGCACTACTAGCGCCCTGGGCGAAATATCTTCGGCGCCCTCTAACTGCAATTCAATTACAATAAGTTACTACTACATACTTCAAATCAGTTACTTGTCTTTTTTTCCCGACCCGGTCTACTCACTTGTAATTTGCCCTAAATTTAGGTAGATTGTTAAGTTGGCAGCATTAGAATGGAACGTAGTGTTCAATCGGTTTAATTTCTCGGGAATCCCCGACTTTCCGACCATACAGAAACAATGTGTTTTTCTATAATCGGAGATATCCTAGATCTATCTCTTTTAATTTTTGACGAAGAAGAACACAATCAACAATTATCTTCTTGCTTGACATATGTGGACGCTCTTAAAACAATTATTCGATTATTTTAAAACAAACAAACACAGTAATCAAACGTTTAACGCTACGTTACGATGCTCTTGTTCCAACTATATAGTGACATTAGTTTTATTTAAAAAGTAGACATATGAATAGTGTATAAGTACAGATTCATTTTTACCCTAACAGGGTGTCACATAATTGTTGTAACTTTGTGAGAGTGAGTTTGCAGTGGGCCATTACTTATTATATGATCAATTATTTTGCTATTTCAAATAAGTGGACAAGTAGCTGGATCCGCTATATTCGGGACAACATCATCTAGTACATGTATTTGTTGTACATCATAACAGATCAATAACAGAGCAGCATCTGTAATCATAGCACAACTTGCTCCCTTACTTCGGGATTTTTCATCCACAATCTCTTGAGTAGCTATTCCATTTGACTTGCCAGGCAGAGGCTCCACTGCCGATGCATTCGTTTGTATTGCAGCATTTTAGCTTCAGCTTAACGTTTAAACATGCTCAAACGAAAATTTTCTTAAATGACCAAGCGATAATGCCCGCCAATGTACGTCATATTACCTAATAAAATACATATCTTCATATTGGTAAGCGGTATGTTGTTCTTTTTTACCATAATATAATATTTTTCTTGTTAAGTATCCTTTAATTAATGCTGAAAGTGAGGCAACTTGAAAATAAAAAAAAAAAAATCCTCAAGGTTCTTGTTCTTGTTCAATGAGCAAGGGAACTACAAGAGGGCGTCTGTGGGAAATGAGGAAGTATTAGAAAAAAAAAATTAGTTCCCGAATTCAAACTAGATGTCATTACGGTATGTTCTTGATTTCTCTATGACAACCCTTCCAGTTTTCTTTCATATTTAAAAGTAAATTAGTTTTCAAAACTCAATTAACAACTCATATTCTATTTGTACTTTTTCATATTTGTATTGATTTCTAAGTTTCGAACTTTTCATTTTTAAATTTTTTAATATGTTAGTTAAAATGAACGGAAATGACTGTCTTTATTCCATTCGTTTTCTGCAAAAATCAACTTTTGCTAGGGTCGCCATCTAGGTGGAGGTATTTTTGTAGTGCTTTCGTTTTTTTTAAATACTTCCTCATTATATAGAATCAGAAAGAAACACCGGACGAAAAAGGGGCGCCGCGTCCTGCTGCGCCCCTTTTCGTCCGGCGCCCCTGGGCGGTCGCCCAACCGCGCCCTACCCTAACGCCGCTACTGGGTGGATATATAGTCATAGGGAACTCAAGAAGTCATTCGTTAAAAAAATTAGCCTTTAGAAAACATAATGATCAATACAATTCAATTCTTTGTTGCATTCATGTGGTTATACAATACATGCTACATAAATACAGCACCGTAACAAATACAAACAGATAAATACAGCTTATTGAAGCTGTATCGTAACAGATTAGTGAAGACTGAGTCAACGTAAACTTAATATCCCATCGACTTTGATCACGAATATTTTTCTGAACATATGTTACCACATTAATAAAGAATTTACTGTTACGCCAGCTCCAAAATACGTAGTTTGTGAAAACTAGTCCGTCACATCGCCGCAAGATGGCACTCTCGTTAGCGGCCGCGCGCAATAAAGCGCGCGAACGACAATTAAACCGGCATCAGCACACACGGCGCAAGTGGCGCGCGGACGTGACGTCACGCGTCGCCATTTGCATTTTTTCTTGCAACCGCGTGTATGTCGTACGTGCTACGTTCGTTTGTTGTTCTATAAGAACACGAAAAATCTTTGTATTATTAATGAAAATGTCATGTACTTTGGTATATGGTTGTTCACTCTATTATAAGGCTATTGACGTCCCCACTGCTAAGATACAGGTTTTGCCTATGAATGCAGCCAGATAACGTCTTAACCTACTATGCGGCCCCAGTGCGGAATGATATTAACGACTACGAATGCAGTTGGGATCAACGGCTTAAAGTGCCTTCCGAAGGATGAAGGAACTCAAAATAGTAAATATGTGGTCACTCATTCTATGAACGTCCCTTACGAAAGTTTGCCTTACCTTCGAGTACGCGCTAACCACTGCGCCACTAAGCTCCTAGTTGTCTTCTCATAACAGGTATATTTATCAAAAACTGTTAAAGACAAAATTCCTTTATTCAAATTAGTTAGGACAGGTTTATGAGATTTCTACCTCTACAAACAATTGTAAGCCTGGGATCATTACCCACACAAAATCTTTCAAGTTGTCAGACGGACTTCCCGAATTCGGAACTTAGCTATGCTTTTGTATATAGCTGTTCTATTTAAACAATTCTTCTAAATAGTTATATTTCCCGTACTAAAAATAACAACTAAAAATGTATTAACTTGAGCTTTTTATTAACTGAGCTCCTCCGTGTTTCGAAAAGCTAGTTAAGCTGTTGTTCTTGGCTGCTTCTGCAGTCATCGATACCAACCAATATGGCCTATGCCACCTGAATATGGCCTATGCCTATTCTCTGTACCGAAAGGATTTGTTTACATCCATAAGGAAGGCCTATAGCTCTGCTCGACATGGAGAGCTTGCTGACAGATGTGGATTCAGCGTTGTGGGCAAGCGGCTTGCTCACAACCCTGATGGTCGTGCATCGTCATATTTTCACGATCTTTTGAAGTCAATGAGGAAGTATTAAAAAAAAACACCTTAATAGATGCTGACTCTTCCAAAAGTATATTTTTGCAGGAAATGAATGGACCAAAGATAGACGTTTCTGTTCCTTTAACTAACATATAAAAAAAATGAAATTTGCAAATTTCGAAACATACATAGATATCAATGCAAATAAGAAAAAATACAAATAGAATATGAGTGATTAATTGAGTTTTAATAATTGATTTACTTTTATACCAGGGGGCCAATTCTACTAAATAAATTTTCTTTAAATCGAATCGAAACCGAACGGAAATACAGTTTTTGATGGTTTTCCTATTCTATAAAGTGACATACGATACAATTCCAGTTCTATTTTAGCAGTAGAATTGGCCCCCTGAAATAAAACCGGAAGGGTTGTCATGGAGAAGTCAAGAAAATACCGTAGCGACATCTAGTTTGATTTAGGGAACTAATGGTTTTTTTAAATGGGCAAATGGTTTTAAATGGTTTTTTCAAATTCACGTGGGCAATGAGGAAGCTCATTGCCCACCGCACTGAATAAAACTACTGAACCTACTGAATAAAATATTGTTCTTGTACTTCATCTTATCCGTTCTCAACCACATGAGTGTTCTTTTTCTTCCTTCTTCAGATTGCGTCATCTAATACGAATTTTGAGCTACCTCTCTCCATCCATCATATGAATAGAGGTGTTTTCATACATTGTGCAGTATATCCGTAAATTATTATCAATTATGAGCGAATTACATATTCCAATTCATATTTCGTAGCGTTTTGGGTGACTCTTTATCAATAAATGAATAATTACATATAAACAATATAATATACATCGCTCAGATCCCGAATGAAGTAGTTTTGGCACTTGTAGTGTCGAAATCTTAAAGAACCAAAACCCATGGCTATATAGAAAACTTATTTTACTACATTTGCTATAAATAATCTCAGATTACTTTTCATTTACTTATTTTCGAAACATCGACAAGCAGTTCGTACTTTTCTTTTCACCTTCTTTTCTTGAATAAAAAAAGGAACTAAAACCACAACTAATAATTGCGTACATGCGTCATAAAAATAAATTGAATATGAAGTCAATTACTCGATCAGCGGAAAATGTTGACACGGCAGGTATACTAGTTAGCACAAACTCAGTGTATTTTAATTAGCTGTAGCAATACTTTGATAGAAAAATGATATTTAAAAAAATATAAAATTATGAAAGTTGGAGACTTCGATTGAGCGATATTATACACAGGTTTATTTTGACATCATTATAATTAAGTTAAATTAGCTTTTTTAAATTAGATCCTAATTATATTAAATTGAAAATTTTGACATATAGAGACTTTCTAATGAAAAATGCTTAAAAATCCACTTTGTCCCCGGTACTCTGAGATATTTTCATCCCAGAGCAGTCGCCCGGATTGAGAAAGGTTTATTAAGAATATTTTCCAGTGCAGCAGTATCATTTAATGCTTAATATCATAAAGGTTTAAGAAATAGAATTAGATTTAGCATAACCGTCGCAGTTTCTTATGGAACTTCATTTATCATTCAGGCATTTCACTATATTCGATTTGAAAATAGCATCATTTGATATAGACATCTTAGATCCTAGTATTAGAACTAGGAAACGAATTTAAGTGTTCAAAAATTCTATGACAATATTTGCTCCACACCAACATAGTCTTCTTTATATTCCATACTTTATGTCTCCCTTTATACTTATTCTTCTACTATCAACAAATCGGAATCTACTTTACCTACATATGAACAGATCAAGTTCAATAAACACTTTTGAAAATAACTGATCTACCTGGATTAATTTATAGAACATTTTTTAAAAGTGAAATGTCCAAGTTTTAAAAGTCCAAGTCCAAAAACTATCAGCTGATAAACACGTTGTCAGCGTTAGCTCTGGTTGCAATATAGAGGAGCAAAATTGCGAGCATAAAAGTAGTATTCCCATGTAAAATTTGGCATTTAAATGCCAATACTTACTCCAGATCAAGATGGTGTAGTTTAAAATTTTAATTTCTCCAATTGCAGACAATGAAATACTTTCTGTTGTCGATAATTTTGTCACCGTGTTGGTCACAAGTAGCTAATTGGGAGATGAGACCAGACGTCACATTTGATGATCGCAACGATCGCTTCGATATATCAGAATTAGTAGCGCACCAAAACATGTTCCTAGACAGCGCTAGAGTCCAGGAAGATTTCAGAAGAAAAGAAAGTGAAGACTTAAACCAATTAGCGGCTAACTTGCGAAGAAAAGTGAGGAACAATAGAGATTTCAGCGAATTTGCTTATCACGACCAAATGGATAGCGAAGACGCAGGAGATGTTGATGAATTCAATAAGATTCTTAAGGGGATCCAAAATACGAGAAGGATCCGAGGGCTTTTAGATTACATACATAACAATAGCAAAGGCAGCGAAGATAATGAAAAATATGTTATGGATGATGAAAAAAATTCTCGATCGCAATACGTGGTGCCTATTGATTTGAAAATCAACGGATATATACAAGCACCTCTTGATTGAAAGAATTTACATTCATTTTTAGATGTTAAACTAGAATTATACCAATTTACTGGCCCCTACGCCATCAGTAGACCAAGACTCTTTGTTAATTGCCAGTAATAAATATAATTAAACAATTTTATTTTTTTAAATGATTATCAAACATCTATAGTTACAAATTAAATATCACTACTGTTCTTTTTCAATGGTGCCTAGCATTTATTTATGAGATTCAGTAGTGAGGCCGCCTTAGTCTCTAGCCATAGAATAGGATAAAATATTTCAACGAATATTATGACATTATTTCGTTTTATTGTACTACTTTGTCATGTATTTTTGGACTTAATTAAATCACACTGTTATTGAATCCATAATCCTCATGCTTTATCGTTAGTTCTTCGTTATTAAACTACATGTCAAAGTAGTAAAATGAAATGAAATAGCGCTAAGACGTCGTATCGTATGGCTAGAATGACGAGTAAAGGAATTAATCAGTCGCTCTGCTAGTGTGTGCAATATTAATAAATGATCTCGATGACCAAGTGGTTCGTATACCGGTTCCAAGTTTGATTCCAGTTTGGATCATTATAGAAAATAAACTTTTTTATATTGTCGCAATCATAACGCGCTCACGATGGAATTTAAACATAAATGTCAATAATCCGCCCAAGTCGAACTCGCGAACGAAGGCTTCCTTACTATTATATATAAAAAGGCAAAAAAAAAAAACATATTTGTTTTAAGGGAACGCCGTGAATATTCTGTTTTTTAGTATTCTCTGTAATTGAACCTGAACCTGTACCATTTCCTTCACAGGTACACTATGACCAAAAATAATGTTTCCTTTGTGTAATACTACTGGTTTATAAGATATATTTTTAACCGCATTAAAAAGGGATAATAAATAATTAACAATTTACCTATCTTCGCAAAGTGCATATAATCAATGGCGTAACTACAGGGTGGCAAGTCGGCAAAATGCCACGGGCCCCCAGCCGGAAAGGGCCCCCGGTCAGAAGAGACTTCTTAATCCTGCCATTTATTATTACACAATAAGTAAAAAAATATAAATTCCGATGAATTTGCCACGGGCCTCAAATGGTATAGTTACGCCACTGCATTAATCGAAATATTTTCCCTCAGTTACCGCTAATTTCACGAGAGCATAATTATAGTGTAAAATTATAAAAAGGAAAGTTCTTTTCAGCCAGTTGTAAACACACTAATGTTGCATCAAAGAATATTTAAGTATTTTGATAAAACAATCTAAAATTATTTCTACATTAAACAATAATTTTAAGGCCAATCTATGAGGAAAGTAATTATTATAAAAAACCCTATAAGAATCAGTTTTTTGATACGAGATTAAAAAGTTTTGAGCCTGAGGTATTAAAAAAATTAAATCGACTTCGAAAAAATCGTTATAATGAGAAACGACTGAAAAGCGAAAAATAATACCACTAATTTTTATCTTCGATAAAATTGTAACACAAAAACGTATATACCGATGATTTTTTTGAGGTTGGTGCGAGCCGTATCCCTAATAAGAAGTACAACAGCAGTTTCAAAAAATCTATTTTTCTCTTACCATGATATTATTCTTATAAATATTTGGCACAGAAGCCATTTTTTTAATTTCTTTCTTTTTTAATAATATAAGTTATCACCGATTCATAATACTTAATTCTAACTTATTAATATTTACCGAATAAACATATTTTGTGACGGTAGCAGTTCTAACCTAACCTAACCTACTAATCTGGTAAAAGTTTGTTTCTTCACTCATTTAGTAAGTTTACTCTTACATTGTTCCCTCAGTTGAAAAATAGTAATTCAAACAAAAGAGTACAATTTAATACGTCGTCAAACATATATACCCACATAATATACACCTACAAAATGTAGCACACGTGTTTAGAAGCGCATATAGACTAATATTGCGCCATATTGCAACAAAAAAATTACATTAATACAGGTGAAATTCATAACCTCATTTCTTTTAAGGTTGGTTTAAAACGTACAGCTCAAACTGAAAACCTCTTTTTTTGAAATCGGTTAATGACATACATACACAGGGAAACTGAGGGTCTCTTTTTTTGAAGTTGGTTGGTTAAATAGAAGATCATCAATATTATGTCTGTTATACTTTACTCCTTTTATAAGTAGCTTAAATTTTAATAGTATATATTGTAGTGTACCCTAAGTTGAAAGTTAAGCAATTGAACAAAAAGAGAATCATTGCAATCCGACTTCTAGTTTGCGAGATATCCTTGGGTAAAGATACAAACATACATACATAGGAAAGGCCCGATAAAAACGCATATGTTAAGGAAAGATGATAAACTAAAATAGACGTATGTAAACAGCTTTGAAAGCAGCTGAAAAAAAATAAACTTAAACAATTTCTTCTAATAAAATCACTAAAATCAAAAAACACCTATTATCCTTTTTGCCTGCAGGAGTCGGGAAAGACGGATATGCTGCTGTTGGCTAAGGATAACTCAAAAATATAGTCAGTCTCAGCACTCGTCAAAAAAGTAGCTACCTACACCTAAATATGATATACAATTTTCATGCGCTCAATATTAATTGACTACACTGAACCCAATCTTCATTCGGCGGTTCACTGTACTTTTCAGCACACGCCCAACAAAAGAAATCACATTTAAAACTTTTGTTTTTGGTTTTGCTAGTTGTCTTTCTCCGCTTACTTTTGGTAGAGCTGGCTGACTCAGATATTTTGGTCTTTTTGTTGATTGATTTTTCATGGTCCATCATGTCCATATGCGTTTTGCCCACAACAGCAATGATCGATGAATAAGATTTCAATATTATATGTAGGTTACGAAAGAATTTAATATAACAAATTATATTAAAATAAATGTGACATTGTACAAATAAAACATAAAATTATAGGTACACTAAATAAATCAATAATGCACTCACAATTTTTGTCTTAATAAAATTATCATTTCGTCGTCATTGGAAATTCTCAGTCTTCGAAGGTCTTTTTTTCAAATTTGAAAAGAGGTAAATAACTACTAGAAGCCGGTTCAACACTGTAAGGTTGATTTCTTCGAATCTTGTCTCAGCAAGGGCACGCCTTGCAACTCGCGCAGTGTGGACGGGCGCGTCGTTGCAAAAACAAGATTCCTTTTGTCAGTTTGCCTCTCCTTTTCTCAACAACCACTTGACGCACTTTTGTCAAACATGCGGCGTAATAGTTAATCCATTCACAGTGGTATTTTAGGAAGGTAATCGATGATCAAAATTCCTTCACAATCCCGAAAAGCAGTGGCCTTGTGCTCAAACGCCGATCTTTCCACTTTAAACTTCCGGCTTTTCTCCCTTTTATATGTGCAAGAGATCATGTAAAATGTCGCCGATTCGTTCCTTGCTGATGGCCCATGGTATCTGTCACAAGTTGATTCGCCGATCTTCAAAAAAAGTTATTTCACTTCTCCACTATTTTCTACGATAATAGAGGTGCTTGGGCGTCCTAACCTGGGATTGTTATCTAGCGGTTCGCTGCCTCGTTTGAACTCTCAGATCCAACGTTTTACAGTTGCACTCCTGGTACCTCATTAAATATTTCTGTCTGCGTTTTTTCTCCTTTGTAAGGAATTTTATGACAACTCTGTACTCCAATTTCGTGCAAAGAATAGATGATTCAGACATTTACGATGCAATTACTAAAAGTCTAATAATCCTAATAACTCGAGATATAGATTTATTTAGATACTCACACTTAGTGGTGTGATTCGTAATACTTCAAGCTAAGGCTGAAACTTTTCAGTCGCCTCTCATATCTTTTCTTTATTAGTTCCAACTATCTTCAAAAGTTATTACAAATAGTTTACATAAACAAACAAAAAGGATTAATTTGTAACATGGACTTTGCCCCATCTTCCGAGAAACATGATCAATTTTCTTTTTATCTTCTTCCAATTAAATGGGTCACAAGATCTCTTGCCATCGTAAATTTTTTTTCATAATATTTTTCATAATATTTAATTGTAACATTTTTTATTATGATTCAATAAAAAAAATGTAAATCATAAAATATTTATTATTTTATTTTCATTGAATAAAAAAATATATTTCACATATTTTTTTAATAAAAATTAGTATTAGGTACTTTTGTATCAGCACGCCCATCACAAATTATTTTCCAATCAAAATTAATAATTTAGCTTCACCAACATAATCAATCACACGCTTAATTTAAAAACTCTTGAAATTAATTCTGAATTGTTTTTTTATTTGTTGGCTTCACACAGTAGCGTCCGGAGGTGATAAATTATGTGATTTATAATTTGAAAAATATCCATAATAATGTCACCGAAACTGTCTCATATTGCTATTTTTCTGACGTTTATATCTCTAGCTTCTCAGCTAAAATTAGTAAGTAAAAAAGACACTATAAGTTATCATCCTGGATTCTCTTTCAATAAGCTACTCCAACACCTCTCTGAACGTGCACCTGATATCCATGAAGTGAAGAACTCAAATACACCTACCACTTTACTAAACGTACATAATCTTAATGTTTTCTTGGACGATTTATCATTTTCTAGACAAAAAACATCCCAGAGATCTGGTGATCAGGATGCATTATGCAAATTCGGCAGATGCGGCTGCTCAGGGAAAAGATGCAGGTCGGACGATAATAATGTAGGAAGTGACCAAGTCCAAGAGATACTTAATGAACTAGAAAAAGAGTTAAGTAAAGTAGGTTCGTTGAGATGTTCCGAAGATAAATGTAAAGATGAGGAGGAAAATGAGGAGGAAGATGACAGCTGCGGATGTGATTCTAGAAGTGGAAATGACCGATGCGGATGTGGTCCTAGAAGTGGAGATGCCCGATGCGGATGTGGTCCTAGAAGAGGAGATAGAAATGACAATAATAATAACGATCATAATGATGTTGATGACAAATCTCTCCGATGTCAAAGCGACAGATGTGGCAGAGGGCGTACACGATCCGACAAAGACTTGAAATCAAAACTTGAGAAATACGGCAAAAAATACAAGATCAATGATGAGTTAGACGCGATAGTTCTCGACCTTAGTAATTTTAACGGTTTCCTAGGTAAACTAAACGATAACCGTGGTAAAGATGCATTTATAAAGCGAGACCTCGACCTGGATTACTATTTTAACGTAGGTGATGGCAACAGAAAAGAGAACTCCAATTATCTTGAAACTTTACGCGTAGATGATGACGGTCAGAAAGACGACTCAAATCAACTTAGACGCATTAAAGATTCTTTGTTCTTTCAATCTAAGGTCAAAGATGTTAACGGACTCTATGATGTAAACCAACAAGGTCTAAATAATGCTTTAAATTTTGTTAAAAACAATAGAGGCGACAAAGACTTATCGTCCTTCACGAACGAACAAAAATATCAGCTCCAAAAGTTGAAATTACAATATCTTAAATTCGGCGCTACATCCGACGAGAACGATTTAAAAGACCAAATTAAAAGGGTTACTTTAGGCGAGGATATTAAATCCGATAATGGTAAAATACAGGCATACATGCCAAAATGGTTACACAGGGCAGTGACAAGCTTTAATTATGATGACGACAGATTAAGGACGAAGAAACAAATGTTTCCGCTAACATTCAATCAGAAATTGAAGCTCAGTAAGAAATCGAATAAACCGAAGAAACCACGAGTAGCCCGCAAGTTAGGAGATCTATACGGGGCACCGTTTGAACTACATATAGAAGGATTAGGACAACTTAGTCCATCACAAGTGAATTGAGAACCGTAATAAATAATAATAAAGAATGTTTTATTAATTTCCACTTTAAAAATTTATGTCAGATTATTATATTTTATCAATTTTGCATTCATAATGTTATCTAAAAAACATTCCTAATGAAAAATGCTTAAAAAATTAACCAGCCCCAAGTATTCTGAGGTGTTGTCCTGACACTGTATACTGGTTCATTTTCGCCTAAAGTAAAATATTCATGTTGAACCTGGTCTTCTTCAGTCATTAGATTAGTTTTATACAGTTACAGTAGACATACTAAGGATAAAGAACAAGAATAAGATTTAAGCATTTGTGTAGTCTACATCCCTTCTCTTCCAGCTGATGATTATTTAGGATTATTACTTGACAATATTATGCAAAATATACAAAACCAAATTTCTCTTACATTCTCAACACTAGTCGTTAGTGATTTCGTTTTGGGAAACATAATTTGGATTTCGCTTAATGGTGATTCCTTTACTCGTCACTGGAAATTAAGAGAACCCTTTTAATGGACGTCACTTCCTTTAATGGACTTATCTTTGGTAATCAATATCTCACTTTCCTAATCACAGATGGCTTAAGCCTAAACAATTGAATATGCTTAACTTTAATGCTAGTAGTTATAATAATACATATAAACAATGTTGCCGATAAGAATATGAATATCAATTACACAAATCAGTCCAGAAGTACCATTTTAATTACCGAGAAGGAGATTTGTAAATAGGAATGACCCATCTGGAGTCCCACAATTATCTTGGAACCACTATTATTTTATTATTTTTATCGAAGATATTTCAAATTGTATTGAATAAAATTTAAAACATACACAGATGATTTAAAATTGTATCGCACTATAAGACATCGTTGTGATATAGATATTCTACAAGCTTATGTATTTATATAATACTAACTGTGCCCGCGACTTAGTCTGCGTGGCAAGTATTTAGGTAGAATTCTTGTTTTTCCTATGAATGGAGTCGAATCGAATAAGATCAATGGGTCATAACCCACTATGCGGGCTTAATGCGGATCGGTAGGTGTTAATGTTGCTGTTACAGCTAGGAATGACGGCTTAACGTGCATTGTGCCAGTGTTGTGTACAGTGCTCAACATAATAATGTTTTGGTCACCCATCTTGTGATCGGTCCTTACGAATGTCTAGTTGTATTGTTATTTGTCTATTTGTATGCACAATCGGATATTTATTGAGGATGAGTTTATCGTTTGTACTTAGTTATGTAAAATAAGTAGTCATGTATGTCCTTGTTGTGCAGTATTTACTTATTCAACTGCAATTTACACCGAATGCGCTAACCCACTACGATCTTATACCTAAGCTATACTAATATTATAAAGAGGAAAGATTTGGTTATTTGTTTGTTTGCATCGATTTTGCTCCAAAACCCTCTGGACCGATAGTTTCAGAGCGATTCCGACCTACGGGAAACTACATCAGATGCAGATGTCAAAGGCTATAATTTTGCGGTAAAGTCGCGGGAAAACAGCTTGTTCAATATACCCTGTCAAAACTTATCTGCGGTACGCCTGTGGAGTATGAAGGCAATACAGGTTGGCGATAATCGAAACTACTTTCTCGATCTCTATTGTGCAAACTGCGAGCTCTTTCAGAGACCAAGCACATTTCTCTAACAAAAGAAGTTTCATACTCATACCATACTGAATTTATGTTACGATCAGTTAGACGCGCTATGCGATCTTCAGAAGTTTGATCAAACGAGATCAAACGCTTGTTGTATGAGTTCTCTGAGAGCTCAAGAGATTGTCCCTGACGGTAAATGCTTCAGGTTCAACTTTATAGTGCATGAAGCTCGCGACGCGCAGTTAAATACGCTTCGCGTTTTTCAGGTGTCTCCCGAAATCGAGCGCTTTCCGTCCGACCTCTTTCTTTGTCAATAAAAGTCGGTTGGTACATGTCTGGAAGTTACTGGAATGTTACTGGAAGATACACGGAGTTTTATTTATTGATATAAACAAATATATACATATTTTAATTTCGACTTTCCACGCTCGAAGGAAATCGTCTACTAACACATACTTCCGAGAGGTGCTTATCTGAGCTTCCGTCAGATTTGAACGGCCCTCATAATCATCATCATCATAAGCCCTTTTACGTCACCAACTGCAGGAGCTCAGGCCTTCCTTATGGATGGTTAAGGAGGATGGGCCATGACCCTCCATGCTGGCCCAACGCGAATTGGAGGATATTAACGAATGCAAGTACAACCGGGACCAATCGCTTTACGTGCCCTCCGAAGCTTGGAGTTGCTTGAGATAATATTTTTTTGGTCACCAATCGCGGGCCATGGCGCTTATTCACTACGCCACCGAGCTACTCTGAACCAACCCTCAGAGTCGCGTTATATTATATGAGTGTTGTGACAAATGAATAAACCATTATTTTCAGCGAAGACTGAAAATACCAACTTTGAAGCACGTATATACAGCAATTTGTATGTTAAATAAAAAATAAAAAAATAGTAGTAAGAGAAAAAAAAATATATATCACGAGTTGTCTTTATGGTCTTAACTTCAGTTGACGTAAATCTTACTTTTTTAAGGTCGTGGAAATGCTTCTAACATTGTCTCTGTTACCTGGCAAGCAACAGGGGGTGAGTGGGATTCTCGTCCGTGAACTCAACAGTGGGCTGCCCAGTGGGTCCCCAGAGGCCTACCCACCAAAACGCTACACCCTCTCATGGGAGATGAAACCCGGCAAGCTATGGCCGAGTCACCAGGACACTTAAGTATGGGACCTTTGGTCCACTTGCAGATAGAAAATTGGAGAGGCTCGGGTAAATCCAGTGCCTCTCTCAGACAGACGAAACCGTACAATGCGGGGGCGGCTGCCAATCATCTCCGCTGGCCCCGACGACGACGTGAAGCTAATCTGATAAAAATATTCGTTCACTATAAACTACGCGATTCTTCTACTCGCGAGATCGTATAACATATGTCCATTATAAGCTGAACCCTATTTACTATGATTGGCCATATATAAATGAGGTCAACTTACTTTGGAGGTATCAAAATTTTGGAATCTTATCTTTTATTTGTCATCATACAAACTATCATTTTATAGACAATATTAAATGGGTGGCACGGATAAGCGCCGCTGCGCACGATCGCTATTGTTAAGCAATTTTCGCAAGAGTTGTTCACGGGATGGGTGACCAAATATTATTAAACAAAGGTCTGAGGCCCTGTAGTTTGGCTGTGAAAGAGTTAATGATGATGATCAATATATCAAAAACGAAAATTTAATATAACAGTTAATATTTCATAGCAATTTTGGCGAACACGTCACTTCAAATTGACATAAATTTTTTATTTGTGAACCGATTGAAATAAATCTTACACTAAATGTTAACGCAAGAATACCACAATATAATAGTGAAAACTGCATTTGAATCGGTTCAGCCGTTTCTGAGATTATCATGCACAAACGCATAGACAAACAGACAAAAATTTAAAAATCATTGTTTTGTGTTCTATTACGCTTATAAATATCCCTCATAACAGTTTTTTCATATATCTTCAATGTACAGACATCGATCAGTTACGTTTTTATTATAGTATAGATTTATAAATGGTGCTGCACTTATGGAATTGCGTTAAATTCAGAAAAATGATTTCATGTAAAATTCACTAGAAAGTTACACTCACTCAACGTTGTTTACTGCATATAGAATACATCCTTAATGGAAGTATTTCATATTCGCGACCTGAGACTGTTTATTTATAGCTCTCTTTGCTTCTTTCATATCGATACCATTATTAAAACAACATAGGTGCTGTCTGGTTTTATCACTCAACAAATGAAGATCTTGCGTGAGTCAAATATCACAATTATTATTTTAAACTAATACCAAGTATAGTATACTTTGTATTAGTATTGTTGTCCAGTATGGAATCCACGTTACCAAATTCATTCCAATTGATTAGAATTAGTGCAAAGATGCTTCTTGTATCATCTGGCATTTCTGACTTCACATGTCGTCAAATTTCAACTTACGAATCCCGTCTATCTTATTATAAAATAATTAAACTCTATTTAAATTTTTGAACGGTTTTATTAACTTCCCTAATATTCAGGAGAAAAATAAATTTCACAGTTCCGTGAATTGGGATTCCGATACAAAACTAAAAATATTTACACTACCGCTCCGTAGAACGTAGAACTCGTCTCGGTAGGTCAGTATTCACCACTTTATCGCTTGTGTTCTAGTTATGAATCGATGCGATTTAACTACGACATATTCAATGGGTCCATTGCTTCTGCTAGGCAGAGCTTAACGTCTGTTTTTGGGTTTTGAAGACTATCAAAATTAGTGCCGGGTTTTTCTCCGTAAAATACTGTTAAATGAGTAATTGATATTATAATTTAATTCATATATATTTAAACTATAGGAATTTCTTTGAATAAGTCGCTTTTGAGATATTATTTATCACTTTTTTAAACAATAAACTCGGTCCTATTTTTTGAAAAAAGTTTTCATAAAAAAGATATGATTTACAGATAAAGTTTTTTTTTTCATGTATTACATTACGCATGAAAAATAATCAAGAATAGTTGTGTATTGTGTATGTGTTGTCAAATAAATTAATTCTATTCTATTCTGTTGAATCGATAGAAATAAAAAATTGATCGTATTGTCGCAAATCTATCTTCTAAAAGATCTATTCAGATCAGCACGCGTAGCATGACAAACTCATGAAACGCTTTGTCTACACTCATTTGTCAGTTTCTCGGGTCGCGAGTGAGATGTTGTATGAGAGCTTGCACCCGAGAAAAGTGACATTTGAGTGTAGACAAAACTCGACAATTCTCGAGTTCGTCATGCTAAGCGTGCAAACATCCCTATTAGACAGTGACAATTGACTTGAATTGACTGTGACAGATTCATAGCTAAATACTGACAGATCAATACGTAAATTTCCGCGTTCATGTTTCGCTGGACTCGTCGAAATAATTTTAATCTTGACCATTTCAGTCCGGTATCATTAAATACGATACATTAACAAACACTAGGGATCTCCTTTGAGTTTTCCACAGTTACTTTATAAATAGCCTAGGTATATTAAAAAAGCCTTAAAGGTAAGCAAGATGGCTAATAATGATACACCAGAAAGTGACTTTTCAATAGAATGTTTTCAAAATTACTCCGCTCCGGAAGTATTTGTGCAAGGCCTAGCTGGTATGGTCGATCAGACAGATGTAGAAACTATTATAAGGGCACAAAAAAACATGTAAGTAAATTGTTTTCGTACCTCATTAAAATTATATAAAAAATGTATTTCGAAAGTTCATGAAAAGAGAATATTCAATATGGATGAGAATATTTTCATATTCTATTTATATTTTATTGAATATTCTCTTCTCATCATTAAGAAATAAAGAGTAAGTAAAACTTGTACATTGAATTTCTTTTACTCTCAAAACAAAATCTCTAAATTAATGAAGAACTTACCAATTAATCTCCTTTTCATCTTTATTGACACGGGATATTGACATTTTTGGGTAAATATAGAAAAGACAAAAAAAAGTGTATTAATAATGTTTTATAAATTTTAGGTTACAGCGCTTTGAGAAAACAACCGAAATGCTTACTAACTGCAACCAGCTGTCGGCCAGTCGACTACGAGCAGCTTCTGTAGAATTCAAGAAGCACACCCAGCTTCTAATGGATATGAGAAAAGACCTTGAATTTATATTCAAGAAGATAAGAGCTATAAAAACTAAATTAAGGTGACTAACAGATCAAATCCAATTATTATTCTTTCGCTATCTATGCATTCTGTTACTGTGTGAACAATAATGGTGTTAATTGATTGGGCAAAAACTAGACAAAAATTTCATTTTTGTTTTTTTTAATACCCCTAACTTTTCACAATCTGAGCAATAGAGCAGTTCAGATCTTGTCATGGGCATGTAGGGCTGGTAATTGTTTGAAGAATTATTGCTTAGAATAAAGTTAATATGAATTGTGAATGCAGGATCAAATTTAAATTGTTTTCATTGAAGTCATATGAATGTAATTGTTAGTAAATTGTTAAAACTCAAAAAAATATGCCCATTTATATTTAGTAAAACAAAACTATTTTTAATAATGGATATGCCTTCTATGAATTACTTTTTAACAAGATAATACTGTATATTTTTCAGTACTCAATACCCTGAAGCCTATAAAACAGCAGTGGCAGCATCCATAGCAAATAGAAAACCAATAGACGAAGAAGAGGAGGAAGATTTTAAACCTTCTGACACAAAGATAGAGTCTAAAATGGTAGCCACAGTTTCCACAGAGACTTTAAAACCGACAACAAGTTATGAAAAACCACACAAAAATAAAAATATTCTCAAAAGTGACCATAGTAACAATAATTCTCAAGATGCCTGCAGCGTTGCAAGCACAGATAATAAAAAGGAAAATGGTAGAAAAGCAAAAAGAAATAGTAGCTCATCTGAAACTGAAAGTGCTAGTTCAGGTGATGATAGCAGTACTGATACTGGATGAAAATAGCCTTTTTAATATTTAGATTCAAGAATACTATTCCTCAATTTAAATAGAGTACACTATCATATGGGTGCACACCCTTGCTTAAAAAATGTTGGTTGAACTTTAGTGAATGATAGAAATACATTTCTCGAGGCTTTGGGAAGCTAGAGATTAACTGCTTATTGAATGAGGATCAATTATTTATTAAAAACATAAATAAAAGGCCTTAAGTGAATATTTGAAAATACATACAAAATTCATTTTATGTCAAAAACAACAATATTAGGAGTCATTTACTATTTTAACAATTCAATATTTCATATTTAACATATTTTTCACAATATTAACCCACTAAATTTTATAAAATATCAATATAAAGAAATAAAATCAATAAACATTATTGAAGGTCTTTTATTATACTTATAAGTGATTCTTACATCTAAACAATAATAACATAAAAAGCCACATATCAGATGCAGATTTTCTGTAAATGTGTAACATTAACAAATTGGTTATTTAAAGATTTATAAACTACAAGGATAAATGCAATTTCTGGTTAGTAAGCAATTATCGTCTAAACATCACAGGGTATAACAATGACACATATTTTATGATAATGATTTGACAATATTATGAGTTGGAAAAATAACACTGAAAATAAATCCTACACAAAAAAAATGTATGTTGCAAAGGTACTTCCTTCAACTAGCTAAGTTTATAATTACAAAACTGGTCATGTTTACCTCAAGTAAATTACTGAGATTCATTACTACCTACATAGATATTAAGAATTTTACTAAACTTAATACATAACAGCAGCATTTACAAAAATAAAAGAACAATTCAAATGTAATTATTCAACTATCATTCATTGATGTCATTCAAGATGAAGGTTTATATGTATAATACACAACCACATGGGCGAAGCCATTAGAGGAAAGCTAATATACATAATGTCTTTATTGCTGTTCTCAGAAAGTTAGACCTAATGGAAGATCAACATTTCCAGTTTGCTAATGTTTGCAATTGTATAAAAGGTTAAGTAACATAGGATTTTGTTTTTATTTATTACTTCGACATGTACTTTAACAACAACAAACAAATTATATAGAATTATTATGAAATTGATAGCAGCGTAACTGGTTTATTAATGTAACTACTATAAATACATGTTGAAGTAATGAAATGAAATATCACCATAACATCGCTAAGATGTATCCTATAGCTAGAAAGTTACACTATCCTGAAGCTAAGAGTAACTGAGATACAAATCAACTATCAAAAATAGAATAAGATTTCAGTATAGCATTGTGAATGCTTTGATCAGATATAATAATAAAATTTATTTTTCAAATGTACATATATAAAATCATTCAGACTTCTTTATTAATATGATGTCTATACTGTTCCAAGCGCATGTTTTTCAGTGTGTCTTCTTGCTTGTTCCTTAAATTTTTCATTTTCATACTTGTATTCATTTGCGACATCCATCATGAGTGGATCATCAGGGTTGGGATTGGAGAGGAGAGTCTGCAATGACACAAGGAGTGTCTCCAGAGTTATTGTTGGAAGCCAACCTCCTTTTGGTGGCATTTTTAGCATATCCATACATATACGACCACCTGTAACATATCCTATTATTATAAAACATTTTTTATAATTATACTAATATTCATATGAAATTTCATTACAAAATTTTGAATTTGAATCGTCCAAAATATTTTTTTCTCCTACCACTAGTTTAGGACGTCTATTAGCTGACAAGAACTAGCGAAAGAAACTTACCAACTCGAAGGTGATGATAAGTAATGACATTTACATAAATCACTTCATTACCATAATAGTATGTATTATAACAATAATTTATACATTAAAGATATGTTATAATACATTACTTTATACCTCTACATTTAAAAAACTGGGAGATTTCACAGTAGGAACACATTTTGTGCCTGATTTGTATGTGAAATAATATGCCATAAATCAAACCATAATGTAATATTAAAATGACATAATGAAGCTATGATGAGGAACCATGATGATCCACTATTAAATATTTACAAAGACATCTGTATATACAATCTACTGTACCCAGTGGCAGATTTACTTTAAAGCCACAGTAGGCCCAGGCCTAGGATCGTGATTTTTGACAAAAATATTGTGTGCCTGGAATTATAACATTTCAAAGAATATTCATGGAATAACAACTGTTGTTACTCATTATTATTGAGGCAAATACAATGTAGTGCTAATGTGACCTTATTTATACTATGCTGGATATTATTTCATCATAACATAAATTAACTTTTAGATTCAATTTCAATAAACATCATTAAAAAAGTAATTTCATATACAATAACTAAATATACAGAAGCTAAATAGGGGTGGCTAGTTCTACATAGTCTATGGTTGCCAAGCCTGCAAAATAACCCACTTCTAAACCATAATAATGTATATGAGTTCTATGAAGTTAGAACTTCGTTTGCTGAGTACGTCATGACAATGACACAAATGAAAATAAGTGATCGTTATCTTTACATTTCCTTCGTTTTCTTTTGTATTGTTATTGTTAATACACAAATAATTATACCTTTGTCTATATTGGGATGATAAACAGGAGTAACGAATTTCACCAGCGGCGGTTCGAAAGGGTATTTTTCTGGAATGTTGACGGTCAATTTGAACGTACCCTTCTCGTAAGGGGAGCCTTTTGGACCCAGTAATTGCACTGATAAGATATCATAACAATCTTCTTTCTCTGGATAACATGTTATACCCCATGGCGGTTTTGTTTCAAAGTTTTTTATTTCACGTGCAAGGCGCGCCATACGTGCGCTAGCAATCATTGTAGCTTTTGCCAAACAGAACTTTAAAACTTTAAACGTTTGCTTTTGCAGTAACAATAATTTATTTAGAATCAGATACTATAAACAACACAATAACACTATCAGTCACTACCATATGACACACATATGACATATAACAGCTGACGGACACATCACAGAGTAATGACTTTTTTTCTCTGCAGTTGAAAGCATGACAAATAAATCATAAATCGGTATTTAATCTTATTCGATTCATAAAACTAAATAAGGATAGGTAAAAAGATTTAAAATCTGCATTCAGTTTAATAGCTATGTAGATAGATAATAAATTATTGCGTATATTCAATGCAAATCACTGTAAAAGCGATACCTATTATTTCATTGTGAAATATTCGCATTCCTACATAAGGATTGAGACGAATTTACTGGAATAGGTCTTTGGAATAAGTTTTTGCTTGAACGTCTGAATACTAAGTAACGAATAAGCAATCAACGTGTATCGAGTATTTAGAAACATCGACTTACTCGTTACTTACACAAATCCAGAGACTCGGAGACGCGGACGCATACTCAGGCTTCCAACGCGTTTCCGAGTACTTAAAAATCTCGTACTTACACAAACTCGGAGACGCCGAGACGCGAAGACGCGGACGCGGAATCAAGACATCCAATGCGTTTCAAATATTTAGAAGTCTCGTACTCACACAATTTCGGAGATTCAGAGATGCGAAAACGCGGACTCGGATCTTAGTGTGGGTGAATCAATTCCTAATCCTATGGTCAATTGCTTTTTCTTTGCACAGTAATTAGATAAGCGTCCGACGCCATCACGTGTCAAATGTAAATGTATTATTAGTGAAACTACTTTTAGTTTTATTGTTATAACTTTGTATTTGTAGCTTTTACAAGTTTTCTTCTTATACTCTCAATACTGCCTTAACTACGCCATCTTGTTGTGTCTTTCCCGCTCTCTCTCTTATTGCCAGCTACATGACACAACATCCTCCCTTTTTTAATTTTTAACAATAAATCACATAAATATATACCCATTTTATACAAATCAGTTTACAATTTAAATGATGAGGGAATACAATATCAATCAAAATACAATGATAAGTTATTACAAGTTACATTTTAACATAATCAAATATAATCTTCCAACCATTTTGGTTTTGTTTTATTTCTGTTACTCCTCCTTAATTCTCCATTGGTAGTACAACAATTATCCAATGGCCCTTCATTTATTTTATCAACCTTATCAAGAAACTGTTCAACATTACAATCCTCATTTAAATTACTTTCAACATTATTGCATATATCATGAGAAATAACATTTTTTTCCATATTTTGTTCAATAGGTACAATATGTTTTTTTTGCTCTATTGATTCATATCTTGTTTCATCTACTGGACTCACTTTGGCATGAGGAACAGGAATAAGATTCCAACGATTTCTGCGATATGTACCTTTTCCAATTCTTACTATATAAGACCTAGGTTGTGATGCTTTCTTAAAAATATAACCGTATTGCCTTAAATCTATTACCCAAACTTTATCATTAACTGCTAATTCTTCCAATTTTTTAGTTCTATATTTTTTGTTATAATAGTTCTGAGTATAATGTTTCTTTTTTAAATCTTTTTCTTTAAACTTTGTTTTACACTTAATTATTTTTTTTAAAGAACTAGGTAACCATGGTAGATTGTCTCTTAATTTTCTGTTAAACATTAGTTCTGCAGGACTGAATCCTGAATCTAGTGGAGTATTTCTGTAAATTAAAAGACCTAAATGTATATCTGAATTCTTTTTCATTAAATTTTTTGCTACTTTTACAGCAGACTCGGCTCCACCATTACTTTGAGAGTAATATGGACTACTAGTGATATGTTCAAAATTATATTCTTTAGCAAACTGAGTAAAATTACTTTTAAATTGAGTTCCACAATCTGTTCTCACCAATTCAGGTATACCAAATTTACTAAATATTTCTTTACAATATTCAATTATACAATTTTCAGAAAGGCTATTTAGTTTTTTTATGTCTAAATATCTAGAATAATAGTCAACACTAACTATATACCACTGACCATTTAAATGAAATAAATCCATACCTATCTTTTGCCAAGGTCTATCTGGTGTCTTTTCTAGGATTATATCCTCTTTTATGTTTTTTCTTTCTTCAATACACTGTGGACAGTTTTGAACAATTTTTTCTATTTGAGTAGACATACCTGGCCACCAAACTGATTGTCTTGCACGACTTCTACATCTAGTAATTCCTAAATGTCCCTGATGAATTCTATTCAATATCTCTAAATGCATACTTTCTGGAATAACTAAACGTGATTTATATAAAAGAAAATCTTTTATTACGGAAAAATCATATCGATACTGATGAAATGCTTTTATTTTATCTGGAATTTTTGATAATCTAGGCCAACCTTCTTGAGTATATTCTTTTAATAATTTAATGATTACTGACTTTTCCTGTTCATTTTTTATATTTTCTAAAATTCTATCATGTAAAGGAATACTTTTAAGAATGGTATTAACAAAACATTCATCAAAATTTATATCTGCATCCTGTCTTACTCCTATTGTCATCACTGGATTACGAGAAAGTGCATCTGGTAATGTTAATTTTTTTCCGGGAACATAGTTGACTTCATAATTGAACCGAGTTAACCTTATTCTGAATGACATCAATCTGGGAGTTAATTCATCTATGTGTTTGGTTTGCAATATCTGTATTAGAGGTTTATGGTCTGTTTCCAAGTATACTTTAATTCCATATACATAATCTTTAAATCTTTCCATAGCCCAGGTTAATGCTAAACATTCCTTTTCTATTTGTGAATATCTCTTTTCTGTTGGTGTAAGTGTCCTGCTGGCATAAGCAATTATTTGTCTACCCTTATCTGAGTCTTGCATTAATGTAGCACCCAACCCATAGGAGCTACTATCAGCAGCCAAAATAACCTTTTTATTTGGATCATAATGTGCCAATATAGGACTAGATTGCAATATTTCTTTAGTTTTATCAAAAGCTATTTGTTGTTCTTTGCCCCATATAAATTCTGTATCATTTTTTAACAAGCAATATAATGGTTGTAATATTTCAGTTTTATTGTTAATAAATCTACTTACAAAATTTACCATTCCTAAAAATTGCATAACTTGTTTCTTATTTTTTTTGGAGTTTCAAAATCTGCAATGGCCTGAATTCTTTCTTGATCTGGACGAATACCTTGCTCATTAATAACATGCCCCAAATATTTAATTTCTGTCACCCCAAACACACATTTTTTCTTATTGATTGTAATACCTTCCTCATATAATCTGTCTAAAACTTGTTTTAATATTTGATCGTGCCTTTCTAAACTATCTGCATGTATCAAAATGTCATCGACATGAAGAATTACTCCATCCAGATCATGAAAGAGTTCTGAAAATTTCATTGAGAAATATTCAGGTGCACAATTTAAACCGAATGGTAGCCGTTTGTACATAAAACGTCCAAAAGGTGTAATAATGGTTGTAAGAGGTGCAGATTCCTCTGTTAAACAAATTTGATGAAAACCTGATGTAGCATCTATTTTTGAAAAGTATTTCGAATTGTTTAGTCGAGCTAACGTAACCTCCACTTTTGGAATTGGAAAAACTGGCCTTAAAATATTTTTATTTAACACAGTGTAATCCCCACATATTCTAACATTATCATTTTCTTTAGGAACTACAACCATAGGTGAAACATATTGAGTTGGTTCTTCAACTTTAACCATTACGCCTAGTTTACATAACCTATCTAATTCTACCTTGATCTTATCTAATAAAGGAATAGGAACAACTCTTGGTGTATACTGTATGTAACCTTGAGTTTTGTCACACAATTGAATATTAAACTTTCTCTTAAATACTCCTAGTTCTTCAAAAATTTTTGGATATTCTTTCTCTACATTAATTTTGCTTTTTTGTAAACATGATATATTATTGACTCCTAGTATTTTTATTATATCCATACTTTCAATAGCAGGTACACCTAAGATTGGTAATTTTAAGTTTCGAACTACATAAATATCACCTGTATACTCCCGGTCCTCATACTTCAGTGTAGCTACCAATACCCCTAGTACTGTTAACTTTGCATCATCAGGTCCTTTTATATTGACTTGACATGGAAGTAAAGAATTTGTTTTACTGACATTTTGCTCTGGAACAGCAACTATATCTGCTCCTGTATCAATCAAAAATTTTAATGTACACTTATATTCCTTATTTCGATACACCTCAATGTCTGCTGAATATTTACTGGTAATAGTACATACCCTAACTTCACTATGAGCCATCTTATTTTTTGAATCAATTTGTTTTCCCCGACAACATCGAGCAAAATGTCCAATTTTTTTGCATTTCATACAGGTTGCCTTCACTGCTGGACACTGACTTCTATTGGTATGAATACTTCTGCCACAAAACCAACACTCTTTCTTTATTCTGTTAAGTTCATTTTCTACATTAAAATTTGTATTTTCAAATACTTCTACATTTCGTGCCAGTGTGACCGCCTGTTCCAAAGTCAAGTTTACATTTAATAACATTTTTTCTCTGGCTCTTTGACTATTTACTCCAACAACCACTTTGTCTCTTACTAATTCATCCCTCAGAGTACCAAATTCACACTCTTCTGATAAAACGAAAAGAGCCCTGATATACTCCTCCACAGACTCTCCAGGAACTTGACTTCTTGAATTAAACTTATATCTTGCATAAAGTATATTTTTTTTTGGATGGAAATGTTGGTCAATCTGTTCCAGTAATTGTATTAAAGACTCCGTGTTTCCGATACCCAGCTGCACTACTAACTCTTCCGCTTGATCTCCCATCAAATATAAAAGCAAATAAATTTTTTCTTCTTCTGATTTCGAAGAAACTTCAGTTATGGAAATATATCTTTGAAATCGTTTTTTCCATTTATTCCAGTTTTCAGGTTTAAAGTCAAACGGCCCCGGCGGCGTCACTTGTGCAGTCGAACAAATGTTAAAGATTTGTTGCGCCATGGTTTCTTCTTCTTCTGTGCTCATTGCTGCCACCATGTATTATTAGTGAAACTACTTTT